CCCCAAAACCCCAAAACCCCTTCCATTATTATCAAATTCAAAAGCAGAGGTAGTGATAAAAATAAAATATCAAATCTTTAAATAATTCCAAGTTATTATTAAAATATAAGTTCCATCTAATTTCTAATAATCTCATTAATCGGTTTAGTTTGGTATATATGTGGTATTAGTTACTCTTGTGAACTAAGTGACTCTAGAAAAATTGCTATCATCTATGAGATTATTATTAGTTGAACAATGGCGATTGACCTTATTTCTTATTTTTTCTGGGAGTTTTGTCTTGACGTTGACAAAACTTTGCTTCTTCTCAAATGGCATTCTTTTAGAGTCTTCTATCTCCATATCGTTTGATTGCCTTCTCTCTTGCAAAAGATTTCTTTACATTTTCTTTGCCCTTGTTGTCTTTTACCAAGCAAATGGCTCTGAAGTATCCTTATCATTTTACCTCTTAGTCATGTCACTTAATATACTCTGACTTAGCTTTAAAGATTCCAAGGCATCCTTTAGTGAGGATCTTCTTCTCATTTCTAGTTACTACTACTTTACCATCTATATTTCCTGCTCTTTTAATGTCCATTTCTCCTAATAAGTCTGTATATTCCACTTTTGTAGTATTTTTATTTTGCCTTAGAGTTATTTCATATAATTTGTCAGTATTATTCTTAGAAAGGTGAAGGCCCATTTCATTAAGAATATAACATTCAGTAGCACAATGGCAACAAAGATTAATGTCATTTCCTATTCCTAACCACTTAAATCATTACTAAGAAAGAGCATTCCTCCAAATAAGAGCGATATCTAAAAGAATTATCAAAAGTTTATATTACTGAAGAAATAGAACTTAGTCTGTCAATTGTATTCATTTATGGATCTAAATAAGGAGATGTGCTATGCGATACTTGTAATTCCAAAAATATTAGCCCCAATCCTACTAATGCCTAAGAAGGTTTCAAATAATTATTAAAGCTTACCTTGGTTGAAGAGCTGACACTAGAAAGGATCGAAGAAAAAGAAATAAAGATAAGCTTTTTGAAGTTGACGTATGTTACTTCCCAATAGTAATTTTCATCTCTAAGTCCTGTGTAAAACAAGCCATACTCAGTCATCATTTAAGCTCGTGATAATCTATGCCTGTTTTTGTATAATTGAAAACCGATCAGAGTAGGAAAAAAGATAGCCCAAATAATAATATAGGGTAGAGCAATTGATAAAGCCATTTTTTTATGTTCAATAGTCCAGCATTGAATGCTCATGTCTTGCCTTAAGTATGAATTTCCATCTTCAAAGGGAACACAACTCAATAGTGAAAAGCTATTCTAAGATATTGTAGGGTAGCACAGATAAGCAAATAGAATTATCGAAGTTCGAATATATCTCTTGAATTGCTTCTTGGTTAAATTAAATCGTTTTATCTGGTAAATTAATGTCCAAATTAAAAAGGCTATTGTGCTGAGAATTACTGGTAAGAGTCCAAGTAGAATTACAAAGAAGTATATTTGGTTTATCCCAATATCCACACTACTATCTTTAATTAAGCACTCAAATGATAGGACCTGTGAATATCCCTCTCCTCCCATTGAGAAATATTCTAGCATCTGAAGCACTTGGTTAGGCCAATTTAACTGAAATTCTTTAACCATCATAGCAACTTAGAAGTAGTTTGTCAATATACGCATTAAAAGTGTCTATGGGTTATTTCTTTTAGAATTTTTTATCAATGAGCTAAAAAAAATTAAACTTAGCATATAACTTACAATAGTAGATACATAATATATAAAGTTAATCCAGCTATCAAGCCAATTATGATAGTTACTTGATAGGATATTGAAAGACATTTTGAGCAGTTGTATAAGCCATTACGAGCATAGTAGTTATCTTATGAAGTTTAATTACATTTAGTGCATAACCTTCCTACATAGCCTACTTGGCATTCTGATTCAAAACCTCCTCTAAAATGTTAGTATTGATCAAAATTATTACAAGCAAACTTGATTTTTAGGGCATTTATAGACCACAGTGCTATTTGTATTATTTCTCCAATAATTAGGGTCGACTATAATTTATACTCCACCTTCACATTTGAGATTCGAAGGGCATTTTTTACAGCTTTTGTCCTTAATGCTTAATGAATATGATCCTCGAGGACATTCATAGCATTATTAATCTAGCATTAGTTCTCCTTATATGCATTCTCTTAGCTTTATGTCAACAAAGAAATCAGCACTTAAACCGTTTTATTTAAAATCGATCTTTTTCTAATCTATTGAATTAGTGCTTATTCTTAGCTTATAAGACTAAGAAGGTACTCCTATAATTTTAAGCTATGAGATCTCAAATATTCCATTTTCACTGCTTAAAGTAGTTATACCTGAAACTGATAGTCCTTCATTATTCGAGGAAAACATTATTGTTTTTAAAATACCATCATCCACAATTTATTCATCGTAATCAACTAGACCAATCAGAAGTTTTTCACTAATAATTTCTTCGCTTGTTAAATTTTTAAGGAAGTCTGTGTTTTTATTTAGAATTTTCATTTGATAGGGGTATGAGGCAATATCTTTTCCATACTTTGCTAAATTGCTTATGAATGTGTTCTCCTAAATTTTCAAAGGTCTATTAAAATCATAGAAGACTGCTCCACCTTTCAATTAGGCTGTGCTATTAATGAAAGTATTGTTTGATATCAAATAGTTGCATCCAGAAGATTATTCGCACTAGAGATAAATAGATCCACCAGAAGTTCCAGAAATTCCATTAATAAAAGAACTATTCTGAATGTCCACATTTGTATCATCAGAATAAATGCATCCTCCACTATCAGAAGAGGCAATATGCATAAATGTAGAATTTATGATTGTTAGTTTTATGTCTTACATTTATTTAGATTCTTTTTGCGCAAATATTGCTCCTCCTTATACTCCACTAATATTTATGAAATTAGTGCTATTAATTTTAAGATTCGTGTTTAAGCTGTATATTCCTAGACCATTTTTATTAGAGCTAGAGCCGTTTTTGAATAGAGAATTATTCATTGATATGGTAGAAATTTGAGAATTAATCGCTTGTGTATCAAAATCTTCAATTGATATATTATCGAATTAAGCAATAGTCTCAAGTAGCTTTATTATAGCATATTTTGAATTATCCTCAGAATTATATCCCTTTATTACCGAATTGAGAAACTAAAAGTTACACCGATGACAGGCAATCAAAGATTCACGCAAATTGCTATTTTCTTCATAATATTGGATTTACTAAATATTAGTCATTTAGATATCGTTAATAATGAGATCTGAATCTTGAAAATCAATAAACTAACTTTTAATCATATCCAATGTGATATTACTAATTTCAACAATAGATTAAGAAGTTGCCTATATAATTGGAAAATCCCCTGATATGTTAAATATGTATCCATTTTTAATAAAAATAGTTGATTCATCTGAAGATATTAACGCTTAATTTGAGTCTTAATGAATGTCTAAGATTGAAAATAATTTGATATTTAAAAGTGAAGACGACTTAAAAATCAAAATCATCTTTTAGTTTTTTATTATAACGTTATCCTCAAGAGTTAAAGTACTTTTGATTAATTGAATTGCATAATTATCATCAGGGTTTAAAAAATTCTTAATTTTGATAGTTTCATTAAAAAGTGTGTAGTATTCAATTGAAATTTTCTTTTGGTCAACTAGACTTTAGAATCTAGATTAAAGACTTTCAGTGTTAACTGTGCCGACTAAGTTATTTTCTATTAAGCCTCCTCTTATGGTTATGATACTCTAAGAATTAATTGAGTATATTAAACTCTATTTAAGTGCTTAATTCTGATTGAAAGTGCAATTTTAAAATTAACCTTTTCCTTCATTTTATGAATACATAATAGCACCAACAATAGCAAAATTCTGAAAGAAAATAGTATCATAAACATCATATGTAGAGTAAAAATTAGAATACAAAAGCCCTATATTTCCATAATTATTATGTATATATGAACTTCTGATTGTAACAAAAGCATAATCATTTTCTGTAAATATAAGAGATCCTCTTCCAATAGCATAGTTTTATTCAAATGTGGTATTGTAAAAAGAAAGGTTTGAATATGCTGTTGAATAAAATATTGAATTAGACCCTGCATTATTTTCACTAAAGTTTGAATCTAAGAAAAATAGCATTTAAGGTAGGTTTTAATCTTGAAACATTGGATGAAGTTGAAATAATCTCCCTGTATTTTTTATAAATGATGAATTACTAAAAGTAAAGTTCATTGAATTTTGCTGTAATTCATAAAAACTAGATTGTTCTATATAGTTGTTTAGAACTATTAGATTTTTCATGATTATATTGAAGTTTGGATGATAAATACCGTTTATTTTAAAAATAGGAAATTTGCTTCTAATAATTAAATCTCTAAATTCTACATCTATTAGTCTTATATTAAATTTTTCATTAACAACATCATTAGTTAGTTAGTTAATACTTTGTATTTATATTAAGGAGACGTTAGAGTTCTGAAATGTTAGATTTTTTATTTTAAGAGTTGCTTATTCTTTGCCTGATTATAGATTGGAAATTACAAATAGATATAGATTAACTAAAAGTTATTAAGAGTGCAATAGAATGCTTACAATCGGATTTAATTGAGTTGTTTGTAATGAATATATTGTTTATTTCTATATCAGAAGATTGATCAAATTGAATCAAATTCTTGCTAGAAATCGAAATGTTCTATATATTCAAATTATTGAATAAACAAGATTTGGTTTGCTAAAGATAAATAAACTATGATGTGCCCATTTAAGTATTTTTCAATGATATGTTAGTAAGTATTGTTTTATCCATTCCATTAATATCAAAGTAAAACAAGTTAGAGGAAAGTACTCCTATATTAATAATATCAGTATATAATTTTCTTACCTTTAGAAGTTATATTTATAAATTCTACATTAGAAACTTAGCTTATAGCAGAAAGTATTTAAAAACCTGAAGAAATCTCTGAATTTTTAACTGTAACATTCTAGATTTTAATGAGTTAGCAAAGTAAATAACTTACATTAATTGAACTTTAATATATTTCTAATTTAGCTATTGGAAGTTCTAGATTAGTCGATAACCCTTCAAAAGTAAGATTTTCTAGGTTGATTTTTACAGATTAAAAGCTTTTATCTATGATATAAATAAAATTTCTGCCCTCAATACCATATCCTAAATTCCTAAACACGTTATTAGTAATTTAGATCGATGCATTTTGCTAATAACCTGGTGAAATGTCTACAACCATGAAACTTCCTTATTAAAAAGGCAAATCAAAAAGATCCATTACATTCCCATCTATAATAAATTCTCTTAAGCCTTTGTCATTTGGACATGGGTTTCCGAAGTAAAAATAGAGAATAGTTCCAAATTAGTTTTGTAAAAAACCCTTTATAATATTATCCTTTAGCAAGAATAATTTGAAATTGTTTCGCATGTTAAATATAAATCCTAATTCACCGACTCCAATTCCTTGTAGAGTATTGTTCAAAAAATAATATACGAAAGGACTCACCTCATTCGTTAAATCTGAACAAATGTACATATCTTAGTCATATGAAACTGTGTATTACATATTAGTGTAATCGATTATTGAATTTTAAAACGTCAAACGCATTCCATATTAGCTGAAAAGTAATCCGTAATACACATAGAATTAGCATTCAGTTATATTTACCCAATTTAAGCTCTAATAGGCACTAATCAAACTATTTTCAGCAAAGGTATAGATGCTGTGCTCAATAAACCTCAATTTCATTATTGTCAGAGAACTGTTAGATAAGTAAAATTTGAACTTAACAAAACTACCATAATCAGATGGGACCTTTTGCATCTGTTGGATTTCAGATATCTTATATGGTTCTACTGATCCATTTTTAAACAAGGTAGGATTAAATATTTCCGATGGTCCTTCTTAGGATCTGTTATAGTCTAGCCCAAAGTAAATGTCTATTGTTACGAAATCTTGATTAAAGAGCTCATTGTTGCTTTCTTAATTTATTAATTAATTATTTTAATTCTCACCGTAAGTGCTATAAGTAAAATAATGGAAAACATTAAACTTACTGAATTGTATAATTATGGTTTATCATGAGTAAAGGCATTTTATCTGAGTTTAAAGTTAGGTTGGTATTCCCCTTAATTTTGATTGTAACATTATAAATTTGATCATTGCCGTAATTAAAGATTTCTCGAAATGGATCATCAAGTTGCTTAAACGGAAATTATTTAGTTCCTAATTCATATTGATTTTTTGCCCCATTATCAATATAATATTTAGAGGGATCTAAAAATAATTGATTAGGTAAAATGATTACCTCTGCAATAAGAAAAATTGTTGCTCGAATTGTCATCTTGTGTAGTTTTATTCACAGTTATATAACCCTGAGGACAATATTCTAAGCAGGTCCAACTCTCAAAATCTCTTAGAGCTCCATTCTTGCAAATAAGACATTTATCTGCAGAGACACATTTTCTTTATTCGCAGGTAGTTGGACATTCTTAATGCTATTTTAATAACAAAAAATTACCTTCACATTGATTTGTAGTAGAGTCAAAGTATTAGGTCAATCAACAAGAATCACCTAGTGCAGCATTAGAATAAAGCATTAATAGGACATATATCACTATGAGAGAGGTGAATTTGTACTTTTATTGAAGATTTAGTTTCATTTTAATAATTTTAGATTTGAGATTATTTCTTAAATGTGTCACTAATTTAATTAGATTTCATTTATTTCATTTATTTCATTTATTTCATATTATCCCATTAACAAAATTACTGAACTAAAGGGGTTTTGGGGTTTTGGGG